CTTCACCATTGGGCGCGCGCGCACGCGCGAGGCCCACGCCGGCTGCGCAGCTTTCACCCCCACTCCCGCGCGCCTATGGAACTACCTGGTTGACACCAAGCGCGCGGGAGCGGGAGGTGGAAGGGGGCGGGACGGGGACAGGCCACGCCCACCCAGAGCCGGGCGGCCAGGGGCCTGCACGAGCGGAGAGACCGGAGCCTGGCATTCCAGCTGCCGCTGCTGTCCGCATAACCTTGGTCTAGTGACGCCGTCTCCTCGTCTGTAAAGTTAATACGACTCCGTGGCCGCTCAAAGAGCCTTTGCTTCTCGGAGAGTTTGCCCCTCTGCCCCAGCCTCGGACGGGAGGTAGCGATCCATATATACAAAGAGCACTCTGGAGTCAGCAGAACTTGGTTCTCCCGTTTGGCCCATTTTTTTAGCCTCAGTTTCCTCATATGCGAAATGGGAGCCATAATACCTCCTTGGGGAAGTTGGGAGACTCCAGTGACAAGAGGAAGCGTATGCCCACACTAGACCAGCCTGGATCAGAGGATGGTTGGACGCCTGCTCAGGCCGGCCTTCCTGAGGCCCCGCGATGCCCTGCATCCTTGGGTGTATTAAGCCGAGCAAGAACTACAACTCCCAGCGTGCCCCACTCTCGCCCTGTCCTGCCGTGAGTTGTAGTCCCTGAACACCTCCCCTCCCAGAGCGTGTCCCATGAGCCCCCCCTTTCTCAGCCCAGGACTTGGCCCCTCTGCTGATTAGGCCTGCTCCTTTGAGGCTAGCTTATTTTTCACTTCTTAAACTTATTATTTAAAATATACTTTTATTTATTTCAGAGAAGAAAGGAGAGGGACAAAGAGATAGAAACACCAGTGATGAAGAGAATCATCAATGGGCTGCCTCCTGCATGCCCTCCGCTGGGGATTGAGTCGACAAGCTGGGCATGTGCCCTGACTGGGAATCCAACCGTGACCTCGTGGTTCTTAGGTGGATGCTTAAACACTGAGCCACAACGGCAGGGCTTGTCTATATATATATACTTAAAAGTCTAAGTGACCAAACAACTGGCCGACTGGTTGCTATGACATGCATTGACCACCAGGGGACACTCAACACACAGGATCTGGCCGAAACTGGCTCTCTGACATCCCCCGAAGGGTCCCGGATTGTGAGAGGGCGCAGGCCAGGCAGAGGGACCCCACTGGTGCATGAATCTATGCACTGGGCCTCTAGTTTATTATAATTATTTTTATATGAGAAAGTTTATTTAGAAAGTCACAGAGTTAGAATAAGTGAGCCATAGAAGAAATGGGCCCAGGAAACAACTTACAAAGGCAAAAGAAGGGCGCTTGGAGTTTAGGAGAAAGAGAGAGGTGAGGAAAATGCGCCTGTAGGGAGAGGGTGGGGAAAGGGCCCCGAGTGCGTCACAGAGAGAGCCTGGCCAACTTATTTATTTTATTTATTTATTTTTTTGAAGAGTTTTTTTTAAAAAAAATATTTTTATTGATTTCAGAGCAGAAGAGAGAGAAATAGAAACATCAATAATGAGAGAGAATCTTTGATCGCTGCCTCCTGCATGCCCCTTACTGGGTCCAGCCCTCAACCCAGGCATGTGCTCTTGACCCTTGACTGGAATTGAACTCGGGACCTTTCAGTCCACAGGCCGACACTCTATCCACTGAGCAAAACCAGCTACGGCCCAACTTATTTTTTTTTAAAGCTTTCATGTGTTGAGCTTTTACCACAAGCCAAACAATAGTCTAAGTGCTTAACATGAATTAACATAGGTATTCCTAAAATCTAATAACCCAGTGTGGGAATATTATTATTACCCCTGTTTTATAGATTTGAAAACTGTCGCATCGTCAGGTGAGGGATCATGCTAGAAAGTGGCAAGGCCCAGGATTTCCATTCAGTGGCTAGGAAGGAAACCTGATGTATATCTGAGTTGCTACGTCATGTGCATGCCATTCTATCACTTGCCCTGTGCTAAGTGCTTGGCTGTATGACTTGATGAATCTTTGTAACAGACCCTGGAATGGGTTCCGCTGTGATGCCCATTTGTAGATGCAGGAGAGCCTGCTTTCTACCTCACTCTGGCTCATCCTTCAACAAACATGCATTTTTCTTAAAAAAAAAAAAAATAGAACTACATTAAGGCCTAATTTAGGGCATACTTGATACAGTAAAATGCACAAACCTTATGTATATAGCTTACTGAATTTTTCATAAATGTATATCTCCGTATAACTGAAACTCTGATCAAGATCCGGGACATTTTCTTCACTCTAGAAAGTTCCTTCTTGCCCTCTCCAAGTCCTCCAGACATGACTGTCGATCTGGTTCCTGTCACTGTACATTAGTTTTATGTGTTTAGGACGTCGTGCCAGTGGCATGGCTGGCTGTGTAAATGCTGCCTTCTTCTGCATGGTCTCATGGTTTTGAGATCCAACCTGTTGTATTAGCAGTCTGCCCCCGCCCCCAGACTTATTGCTATATAATTAACATATAACCGTTGTGTAAGTTTAAGCTGTACAATATAATGATTTGATACATGTATACATGCAAAATGTATACTATAATAAGATCAGTGAACACATCCTTCACCTACATAATTACCATTTGTTGTGGTGGTGAGAACATTGAAGCTCTACTCTCAGAGCAACTTTCAAATACAATATTGTTAAATTAGTAACGTTGCTGTCCATTAGACTCCTGGAACTTATTCATCGTACAACTGAAAGTTTGTACCCTTTGACCAACATTTCCCCATTTCCCCCAAACTCCAACCCCTGGCACCCACCATGCTACAATCTGTTTCTATGTATTCAACTTTTTAAAAGATTCCACACGTAAGTGAGGTCATGAAACATTTGTCTTTCTCTGGCTCATTTCACTTAGTATGATGCTCACCAGGTCCGTCCATGTTGTCACGACAGGATTTCCTTCTTTTTTATGGCTGAATAATACCCCACTCTATAGCACATTTTCTTTATCCATTCATCTGCTAATGGACACTTAAGTTATTTCCATGTCTTGCCTACCGTGAATAATGCTGCAGTGAACACAGGGGTGTCTTTTTCTGCTGTTAATCCTCACCCGAGAATATTTTTGCATTGATTTTTAGAGAGAGCGAAAGGGAGGGAGAGAGAGAGAGAAACATCAGTGTGAGAGAGACACATCAATTAGTTGCCTACTGCACGCAGGATTGAATCTACAACCCAGTACATGCCCTTGACCGGGAATTGAACCCAAGACCCTTGAGTGCATGGGCCCCTTCTAACCACTGGGAAACAATAGCCAGGGCCATAGGGGTGTCTTTTAAAAAAATCACTGCATAGTGTACTATTGTATGAATGTAAGTAGTTTTTGAAACCTGATCCTCTGAACAAATGACTTCTGAGTTCCTGCCACCTTGGTCTTTCCCTTCTCCCAAGGGCCAGCTCTTTCCAGAATGGGGTTTTGGACACACTGTTCCCTCTGCCTGGTCTTCCTTTTCCCTCCTCTTGGCCTGGCTACTCTCCTCTCACACACAGTCTCCCTGTGTAGGGTCAGGGATGTGCACACCACCCCGGTCCCACTAGTGCCCAGTGCTCAGCACAGTGCCTGGCACAAAGTGAGCATGCCGATTGTTAAATGGACACAGGAGTGGCAGGGGGCTCAAGAGGGCATGTTTCATCTGGGAGCTCACCTAACTGCGCTGAAGGAAATCAGCCCTGTGATTATGTTACTTCCCCATATCTTCCTCCTGGGAAACAGGTTCAGAGACGGAGAGCGGCTTGCCCACAGCCAGGCAGGGACCGAGCTGGACTGTGAGCCCAGGCCTGCCTGGCTGCAGCGCCTGCCTGTAATGGTGGTGGGAGTGATGTAAGAGCCCGAGTGCAGGTTCTGGTGGGGGGTTGGCTGTCCTAGAGCAGAGGGGGAGTGGGATCTAGTGCTCCCAGAATCCAAGCCCAGTGGAAGCGGCCAGGCAGCTCTCAACTCAATAATACAACACGTCCACTTGGGGCCATGGGGTGGTGGCCATGAGAGGAGGTGAGCTCCCCATCACTGGAAGTGTGCAAGCTGTGGCAGAACAGCCCCTTGGAAGGGGGTGCTTTAGAGAGAATGTGTGCACTGGGAAGGGGCTCAGGGGTGGTGGGAAGGGGTTGATCTCTCGGATCCCCAAGTTCTTTCTGGGGCGGGAGGCTATGAGCCTCTGCCACAAGGGGCTGTTCTTGGGCTGGTCCCTCGACTAGAACAGAGCAGTGAAGGAATTTTGTACTCTGCAAAGCCATGTGCAACACGGAGGGATGACTAGGAAGTTGAGGAGGGGCTGGACACATTTGCAGCAAAGAGCCACCCTCAGCGTGGGCCCTCCAGGTGGCTCTGAAGCCGTGCACTGTGTGTGTGTGTGTGTGTGGGGGGGGGGTCTCCATATTGCTGATGAAGTGGGGCTCAGAGAGGAATGGCTTGGTCAATGTGATGCAGCTAGGGACAAGTGAGGACTTGATTTTAACTCCATCAATTTCTGAACACATAGCAGGTGCACATAGCAAAGACAGGAAGTAAGATTTTTGTTCCAAATTTTAAAAACCACACACCTAAGGCAGTGGTTACAAAGCAAGGCTGATATGCATCTGAATCACTTCCTCATACATGGCTCTCTATTTCTTGCCCGACTACATGACTTGATTAAAACCTTGACTAATTGAGCTGGGCTCTACTGTTATTCCCATTCTACAGATGAAAACATTGAGGGTCAGAGAGATGAGCTGCCTTGTCCATGGCCACTAGTTGGTACGGAATGGGGTGGGGATTAGGACCCAGGTTATCTAAATCCACATCCTGGCCTCTTAGCCCCCACTTTTGGCTGGCCACTTGCCACTCTCTGCAGTGACCCTGGGACTGGGCCTGAGCTTCTTAGATGCGATCTGGCAGGCAGACAGATACCCCTTTAGATTGTATGTGTGTGTGTGTGTGTGTGTATGTGGGGGGGGGCACCATCTGTCCACACCTGATGGCTCATCCAGATGCTGTCCAAAGGTCTGTGCAGGCCGGGACACACCCTCTGGGGGCCAGAGCAATGACTCAGAGCTACTGGCCCCGGCAGTCAGCACGGGGGGAGGAGAGGAGAGCAGGGAGTGGACAGAGACATAGGCTGACTCCCTTGCTCTGGGACAGACCTGGAGCCTGGAGTGGAGTCACCTTCCTGTCCTGCTACCAGTTAGGCCACCAGCCATCCACCCTCTCCAAGCACTAATAATTTCCTGGACTTTACTCTGGGTTGGGCACTGTGTCTGTGATTTCATTTCATCCTCACCACCAACTTCTGAGGTAGGTTTACCCACAATTTCCAGATTGTGGCAACAGGGAGGTTCTGTAACTTGTCCCACCACCACCGAATGCAGGCCCTGATCCCTGAGCTGCTTTCTGAACAACTGCCTCATAACAGTCATATCTAGTGCCGCCCACCTCTGCAGCATCCTCTCCTTGGAGACACAGAGAAGACACCTCTCAGGCATCAGAGCTCAGAATTGCCCACAGCTCCCAGATCCTGGTGGGTTTTTGCTCTCATTTTTTTTTTTTTAATGGATCCCGTTTCTCTTTCCTGCCTATTGGAAAGCTTGGAATTCGACTCATGGCCCACCTCTGACAATTACCCAAAACTTAAGGGCAAATATTTAAATATTTTGAGAATTCCATTCAGGCCTAGGTTCGCCTCATTTTTTTTCACTCGTTTTGCTTTCATCCAGGTTCACATTTTGCGAAGCTTGTAGCATTTTATTTTTATTTTAAAATTTTTTATTGATTTCAGAGAGGAAGGGAGAGGGAGAGATAGAAACTTCCATGTTGAGAGAGAATCACTGATAGGCCGCCTCCTGCACACCCCACACTGGGGACGGAGCCTGCAACCTGGGAATGTGCCCTGACCAGGTTCACAGGTTGATGCTCAACCACCGAGCCACGCCAGCTGGGCAAGCTTGTAGTATTATATAAAATTTGTTTTTATTGTGTAAAAGACACATAACATTTACTCTCTTGCCCATTTCCAGTGTACACTCAGGGGACAGTAAGTACTTTCACACTGTTGTGCAACCATCACCACCATCCATCTTCAGAACTCATCTCATCTTGCAAAACTGAAGCTGTGTCCGTGAAGTAATAACTCCCCATTGCCTCCCCTCCGCTCCTGGCAACCACCACTTCCGTCTGTAAATTTGACTAGCTACTCATAGAAGGAGACACACAGTCTTTTTTTTGTGTGTGACTGGCTTATTTCACTTAGCGTCATGTCCTCAGGTGTGGCCATGTTGAAGTATGTGTAGAATTTCCTGCCTTTTTAAGGTTGAATAATATTCTATTTTTTCTGTATACCACATTTTGTTAATGCATTATCTGTTGGTGGACACTGGGTTGCTTCCACATGTCAGTTGTTGTGAATAATCCTGCTGTGAACAGGGATGCTCATGCCTGTGTGTTTTGATAATCTGTTTTAAGTCCGGGAGGTTGGGGAACAAAGGTCCCTGTTGAATTTAGTGCCTGGCATATAGTAACTACCTGATAGGTATCTACTGAGTGTGAGGCAGGCGTGGCTCCTCCCACAAGGAGAGGGTTGCTCAGGATTATGGCAAGAATCGGCGGAGGCTACAGATTCAGTGTCCCGGAGGGTTCCCTGCCACACGCCAGGCCCTACACCTGGAAGGGTGTCCCCATGATCTGGTTTTATCCTCAGAAGAACCCTACGATGTACGTACTATTATTTCCTCCAAGTCACAGATATGAATGTCTGATATCACGCTACAGGGAGAGGTAGATGCAGGCCCCCAGGGATGGTCATACCCTCTGAGGGCCTCAGGATCAATACCCGAGCTCAGGGCTGGCCTCAGCCCTCTGTGGAAACCTCCTGTTTGATTATTATACTATTTTACTAGTTCCCTCTCCTGACCGCTCCTTCTCTGACCTTCTCCACAGGTCTGTCCCTGAGGCCTCTTTGTTGGGAAGCGGACCAAGTTCATCGATGTTGCCCTGGATGTCTTACTCCTGCCTGCCCCAGGGCTGGGCCTGGCTCCCAGGTGCTCTGAGCCTGGGCTCTGCCAGGCCCTCTCTCCTGTGGCCTGGATCTCATCCACGGAGCCCTGGGGCCTATCCTCCCAGGAGTCTTCCCCATCCTGGAGGTGTGGTCTCTGGCAGGGTTAATGATTGCTCAGGGGAGGCGGAGATGGTGCCAAAGTCTGTGAGCTACACACTGAAAGCCCCAGAAAGTGCCCACCTGTGCCTGCTGGTGTCTGTCCGCCGCTTCCGCAGCCCCTTCTGGGGCACAGGTAGGGACCACGTAGCTTCGCTGAAGCAGGGCATGGGGTCTCCTGCCAGGTGTAGGGACCCAGTAGGGTCTTCGGGACCAAGGTGAGCTTTGGGGGTACCACCACAGCTGGGTGGGAGCTCTGGGTGCAAGGAGAGCGCATGGGCGCTGGGTTGGGCAACCCTGGAGTGAGTCCCAGCCTGGCCGCCAGGCCTCAGTTTCCTCTGCAGTGTGGGGCTAACAATGCCTCTCCCCAGGGCTCTGAGGTCTCCCGTCTGTACTTCCCTAACAAGGCCTTGGTCATTTGGACCCACTGAGGATTTTTACAAGATGGGAGGGAGGCAGGTCCCTCCAGAACATGAGTTAAGCTGCCTGGGCTCCTTACACAGGAAGCTCCAGGGGGCGAGGTCACAGTGGCTGAGCCTGGGGCCCCAGAGCTTGAGGAGAAAGAGCTGGGCTCTGATGGTCTTTTGGGTTCAAATCCTAGCTCCATCCTGACTGTGGGTGGGCTCTGGAACTCTTCTGGGCCTCAGTTTCCTTATCTGTAGAATGGGGATGGTGATAATGTGGGAGGAAGGTGGAGAGCCCTGAAGCAGAATTGGGCCTGTGGTCGGTGACCGGTGACCGGCTCCAGTGCCTCCTCCGCCAGCAGGAGGAAGTGTTCGGCTAGGACTACGGGCTGGCTGGGCCCCAGCTCTGCCTCCTCCCCATGCCCTGACCCATGTCTTCGCCCTGGTGTCCCAGGTGGAGACTCCGCTAAGAGCCGGGCCAGGCCTGGGCCTCTGCCCTGAGGCAGGGTGCGTTGGGTTGGTCCCCCGGGACGAAGCAGAGACTCAAGGCACATTGGGAGCTGAAAGATGGAAACAGGTGTGACAATGTGTGGACTCTGTGGTTCTTAGCCTCATGTCACTTCTCAGCAGGGAAACAGGCCCAGGGAGATAGGGTAAGGGCTCGCGCAGGGTGGCGCAGTAAGCAAAACCTTGGAATCGGAACCCAGGACCCTTTGACTGCATATCTGTCTGCCAGTGAAGCAGCTTGGGGGGTGGGCACTGGAGGGGGCCCCTGGTCTAGCCCTGTGCCCTTACTCTGGGCATCACTCTCTGAGCTTTGCTGGGCCCCAGTTTCCACACTTGGGCCTTGGAATGGCCTTTCCCGGAGCTAGGGACCAACTGTGGAAGGAGTACACAAGGAAGTGGAGTAAAGTGTGTTGTGAGCGAGAGGGGTCAGTGGCGGTGAAGGCTGGGCCTGCTGCTGCAGACTGAGTGAGGAGGGCCGCCTCCCTCTCTGGCCTTTCCGAAGGCCCTGGGAAGGCCTGTGGTCCCCTTTCCCTGTGCCTCCACATTCTAGAAGTCTTGGAGCCGTGCTGTTGAGAGCTGTTCTGATGCCTCCTACCACGGAGGCTGAGGAGCAGAAGTGGGTGTGTCCGGCCAAGCCAGGGCCTGCACGTCTCATGGGGTGGGGTCCAGGAGCCGCCCTAATTCACCTCGCTGTCCTTTCTGGTCCTTCTCCAAGCACTTGTTGTTGTTGTTGTTGTTTTAAATATATTTTATTGATTTTTTTTTTACAGAGAGGAAGGGAGAGGGATAGATAGTTAGGAACATTGATGAGAGACATCGAACAGCTGCTTTCTGCACACCCCCTACTGGGGTTGTGCCCTCAACCAAGGTACATGCCCATGACTGGAATCGAACCTGGGACCCTTCAGTCCGCAAGCCGATGCTCTAGCCACTGAGCCAAACCAGTTAGGGCTCCAAGCACTTTTTGAGAGAAGGGAAAGTGGGTGGGGAGGAAGCTGTAATTTCTAGAATGTAGATAGTCCCATTTTCCAGAAGGCAAACTGAGAGGCAGAGGAGGAAACAAGAGCTGCTGGGTGTGGCTATGCAGTGACTGGGGGCTGGAGTAAGACCATGCCTCGCGCCAGTGCCGGGGGCTGCCCAGCACAGCGAGGCCTGGGAATGCACTGGCCTGGGCACTGTCAAGGGCAACTCCATTGTCAATGTAAGAAACATCCAAACCTGTAGAGAATTTTCATGAGATTATTTGAGCCAAACTGACTACAATTGCCAGGAAGCATAATCTCGATTGAGAAAATGCCTCAGAAAATGGCAGTTTTACCACCTGTTTTATACATCAGGATAGAAGGGGAGGGCGTAAAGGGGTTACATGACATCTGCTGTGATAGATTAGGGAGGTGGGGGAAAGCAGTGCGGAAAACCGCTGAGACTGGATGAAGAGTAAAATGGAGAGACATATACTTATTTTACATCGGTGGGCACAGGATGGTTAACAATGAACATTTACGCACATAGAGACGGCATGAGGCGGTTAACTGAACATTTACGCACATAGAGGCGGCATGAGGTGGTTAACTGAACATTTATGCACATAGAGAAG